TGAACTCCCAGGAAAATTCAAAAAGGAAAGTCCCCAATCAAATGGCAAAATAAAAAAACAAACACATCAAACGAATGGATAACAACTGTCATATTCCTGACTTGGTACAGGCATTTTCTTATGTAGATATAGATGGATGATAAAACTTAGATTTTGCTTAAAAATGATGATTTGTATTTCCCATTATAGCATAGTTTTATATCTGTTGACCTATATGAAACGAAAATGTTACAAATGGCAAATATATAATTAATTTAAAAAAATATGAATCACTTTTCATGTTTCGATGAGTTCTTGCTTAACTAAATTGATTTTAATAATAAACTGATTGTTTGTGTTTAACACCGAATTAAGCCATTTTTGCTATATCATGGCGACCAATATTTTTTTGGTGGAGAAAAAGCCACCTACGTTCGACAGGTAAACTCGCATACCCAGTCAATTAAATTGGACCGCGCATAGCCACGAGCGGGATTAAAATTATTGACAGGTAAATGATCCTTGTAGATGTACCAAGTAGACTCGGCCACTGACATGATCGATACAACATGTTGAGTTTAACTTATGTTGTTATAGATAATGTGGTTTAGGTACCGAACATTCATATTTACGTTGTGGTTCTTAATTTCTGGAAAAAAAACTTGGTTTCGGAGAATAGATGGTTCCCATTAAGAGTTAAGGGGAAAATAAATGCTCTTTTAAGTTTCAAACATAAATGTTTTGTACAATTATATTATTGTCCAAAAAAAACAAACTATCCCCGCCACATAAAAAATGAATGGAAGGGTAAAAAAGCAGAACTAGAAAAAATTATCAAGGACAAACACGAAAAGAAATGAAAAATGGAAACAGACGAAAATACAAGAAAGAAGGGTTAACTGAATTTATAACCTACAAATCAAAAGAAATGAAATACGAACTACCTGTTTTGTTGTAAGATAAATCATTTTTCTTAAAACAAACACTACCGTTAAAAGAATAAAATGGCTTACCGAAAAATCACCATATACCTCAGTTCTTTCTAGCATGTTTCCGACATATACAAGTTCAGCATCGGCAGCAAAAAAAGGAAAATAGCTGTCTTCCATTGACAAGTATTCAACTGTTTTGAGGCCTATTTTCATGCTAAGGTCACCAGATCTAAAGAGGAAAATACTAGTTATAGAGTGATACATCACACTAAGACACAGACATATTTAAGAATTAAATTTAGATAGAGGTACTCAAGGCATTTCAACCAGTCTGTATTTGCATTGATGTTGATGAGTTTATTGCTTCAGTCGCTTGTCCTGCCTCATGATGAATTCGATTGTTCGATATCCTCTGTATTTCTCTAATTGTATATTACAAAGGATTTTTTTGTAGGGAACCTCTGCCAACTATTGTTGTTATTTATTTTTATTTCAGTCTCATGCTAATTGACGTTTCGTCCCGAAGTGTACCCTCACCCAGTAGTCCGCAATCCTCAGGAAATATCATTGATACAGGTCATTGCGGAAATTTACAGTTCATGAAACTAAAAGTATCATTCGAAACCTTAAAAAACTCCAGTATTCAACTGTTTTGTCTTAACCTTTCTCATTCAAGCGACACTGACGAATCTTGTAAGGCTGAGTCTCGAGTCTGGCACACTTGGTTGAATGCCTTATATCTTTGATGAGGTGTTATAGGACTATTAAACTATATGTACACGATATCAGTAAGTGTTTTGTTGTTACTTACTTTGCAAAGTTCCATGCATCATTAATAATCTGAGCTCTATTTACAGGATGAATTATCTATAATAAAAAAATATACAGTTTTTCAAGAAAGAATGTGTTGCCGGTCGTTTCCAAATAAAATAGGCAAATTGATGATGTTTAGGTTTTCGTATTGCAACCCGCCATTATGTCTCGGATCAGTCATGTTGTGTTATTCGTACAAGCCGTTTGCAAGAATTGTTGCAGAGAAACAATCCAGTACTAACAAAAATAGCACGTCGATCAAAATGTTAATAGCAAGTGCACAACTTATGTCCTACAAAAAATCTCTGTTAATTTGTTAAATTCTGTATAGCCGTTTTCAAAGTGTTACGCAATAAACAAAGTGTCTGTGACACTAAACATAAACTTTAGTAGACTTCAGCAGCTATACAAAACTGTTATACCCTTTTTTTCTGTCGGTGGGGCTAATAGTGAGTTTTGTATTGTTTTAATTGTTCGTTCACACTTTTTATCTGCCACTTCTAAACCATAAATTGCATCACATTGATCTTGCCCGTTATGGAATACATGTTTCACAGATGACGACGGATATGTTCCAATTGTTGTAACCACAATTCTGTCCTTTTTTGTTCGAATGTGTCTTACCGAATTAGACTTATCACCGATTTTGTATTTACATGAGCAACAGAACGGGTGCAACATATGGAGCAATATCTGCTTACCCTTTCAGAGCACATGATATCACCCCGGTTTTTAGCGCGATTCGTGTTGCTCAGTCTTTAGTTTTTCTATGTTGTGTTTTATGTACTTGTGTTTGTCTTTTTGTCGTTTTTCGCTTTTTGTCATGGAATTGTCAGTTTGTTTTCGATTAATACAAGGAGTTTAATATCTCTTTTGTATCATTCGTCTCTCTTTTATTTCATTTATACTCAAACAAACATGTAATGTTTCTATTTGTTATCAAAAGTATACAAATTGGAATAGGACAAAATTATTTATATTTGTTTAACTTAATAAGTCTGCTGCTGTATAAAGTAATCTCGTAATAATATCAATTTAACAATAAAAATGAAAATAACAATTTTGGATATAAAATGTTGACCGGGTATCTCCAACGTAAAGATTCAATCACTCCCGCTCTCTGGAAGGATTTCCAGTTATTCATGAAACATCAAATACATAAATCACCCTTTCGAAGGGAGGCAAATGAACCCAAATTTTTGTACCTTACCCAACTCTACTTTTATTTTATTTGACAATCAAAATTTCTTCTCTTTGTGTGTTCTGTTAGGTGTTCATCAGCTCAATAACAAGTTTGTGTTTCTATCAAGCGTAAGTCAAACAATGATCAACAAAAAGTATTTTCAAGTGTCCAGAGGACAAGATGTTTTACAACACGAAGAACGGAGTGAAACGAGTATGAAAAATTAATGATGAACAACTTATTTATGTAGTATATAAACACGAATCTCACCAAATTTGTAGCTTTGTAGACTTGTTTTCTAAAAAATAACACAAAAGTCGGTGGACGGGCAAATTGTGAATACGTTTATTTATTTTCATTTTAATATATATTTAAATCATTGATGCTCTTCATCTTCTTATTTTATTTGATCTTTTAAATTATGTTGATTCGATGGTCATTAATAAGTATTTTGTAGACCAAAAGCGAGTCTGGCGTACAAAATTTAATCCTGGTATCTGTGATGAGTTTATTTATACTATATTTTAAACCATGCATTTTATTGTTTTTAAGACCCCACTTGTTTGCTTTGCTAAGCATATTGTAAAGTCTGAACTTTTCTATATTAGCAATTAACCAAGGTTGGTTTTCATTGTTTACATGTGAGCCATGATATTGTTTTATATTGACTGCATATTTTTATTAGCCCTCTGGAATGATGTCTCTGAAAGGTGTTGAGAATATACTTTGTGATCTACAATTATATACAAGAATATAATGTACCGTATGATCCATCTTTAGTTGAACTATAAGTTTTCCCCAGTTGGCCTCCGGGTAATTTACTCTATAGAATCCATACTGTTTTATATTTCCTATAAACCAGTCATTCCCACTTATTACTTCTGATAGTGAAACTGAAAATAAAAGTAGGTAATCTATCAATTAACACGAGTTTTATCGCCCTCAAATTTAACCGGGCTGAAGTACGTTCACTATTTACTTTTCAATTTTCACTATTCAAAATTCATTAATACAGTCATGTAAAAGTGAACTGTGTTTTTTTTACTATTCACTATTCAAGTTTATTCAAATCGAATAACTTTGATATCTACTTGTTCTGTTTTGTAATAATTGTTTCAATTCGATTCAAATTCTATCAGCTCTAGTATTATAGTATTAAGGTTTTAAGAGACAGGATATTTTTTTTGCCCTCCTTTCATCTAAAATTATTTATTTTTGACTTATAACTGCACTTGATTGACAAAACAGTTAGCAAAGACATCTAGGGATCACATACGGTATACAATAATTGGAAACCCAAATTGGATGATGTTTGATATTGTGTATAAATAACGGAAATATATTTGATGATTGATTTGTTGATTGATGTTTATCGCCACTTTCAACACTATTGTGTTGTTTTGTGGCGGCAAGTTTTTATTTGTTGAGGAAGCCGGAATACGCGGAGAGAACAGCAGACCATTGGTAGTAAAAATGACAATCATAGTCAATTAAGATTAGAGTCGTGTGCAACTGACACGTGCGGGATTCATACTCACAACCTCAGTGTTGACAGGCTAGTGATACAATAGGTGAACTACTTAGACAACTCGGCCACCGAGGCTTCAAAAATATTTTTGGAAATGGGGGCGCAAACTTATTTTTTTTTAGGTAAAATTATCAAAATATTCTTTATTAAACTGAGGACAACCCATGCTTTGCAAATTTTAAGGGGAGAGGGGGCACGCCCTTCACGTCCCCGCCCGAATCAGCCCCTGTAGGGCTCATACGATTTGATGAATCAACATTACATGAACAGACACCATCTATGGTATGTATGACGAAAATGATTCGGATATTTGATTTGATATATTATTTTGATGTTCTTTTCTAACGTAAAATACAAATAAAGGAAAATATTATAAATACCGAACTCCAAGAAAAATCCAAAACGGAAAGTCCCTTATTAAATGGCAAAATCAAAAGCTCAAACACACCAAACGAATGCAAAACACTGTCATATTCCTGACTTGGTACAGTCATTTCTCTATGTTGAAATGGTGGATTAAACCTGGTTTTATAGCTAGCTAAACCTCTCGAATATACCTCTTATACTAACCATCTGTTCCGTCTTTTCCCATCCAGATTATATCAGCCTCGTTCTGGTTAAAATCTTTACTACTTCGGGTTGTAAATGTGAAAGGTATTTCCCATTTATACCTGGAAAAGTATTATACTAATATAAGTTTAAAATTATTGTGGCTGATACAAAGCAGAAATGAATAGAAGGAGAAGTGAGATAAATATCAATTCAGTCTTAACGCAACTGTTACAAGACAAGTTAACAGAAATATAATTCAAGATCATAAAAAATAAATACGAATGAAACCAAGCTGAAAAGGTGCCTAAATAATGTATGACAAGATTAACTGTAAAACCATTTGTTTTACAGCGGTATACTACTGTTGCCTTTATTTACCATTCGAACAAAAAGTAAATATGATAAATAATAACGGTACTATTTGTCCCCTCCACCTTTGGAGAAGTTGAAGCTCGTGCACACGAACATATTTGCGTATGGGTTTAATAAAAAGACAGTATTTTACTGCATATTTTTATTTTTATTTACACAACCTTCAAATTTACAAAGACGCTCTACATTCGAATGGTTGTCATCCATATAGCTATATGTCCATTGCAAGACAATGTTGTCGCTTGATTATTGATAAGACATACTAACATTCATAGACATATACATGTTTATAAGATTAATCATCAAAGAAGTCCCTTCTCTTTTCCACGAATATGACATCATCAAGTTTGTACTAACATGAACAACACGACGGACCAAAAACGTGCATCAATATCTACTTTCCCCTCCGGAACACCTGCGATCAGTCCTGTTTTTGTTGGTGTTCGTGTTGCTAGGTCATTACTTTTCTATATTGTGTTTTGTAGACTGTCGTTTTTCTTTTCGTCAGTTTTTGTTATTTGACATGGCGTTGAAAAAGTTGCCACATGTGGAGCAGAATCTGCTTACCCTTCCGGAGCACCTGAAATCACCCCCAATTTTTGGTGGTTCGTGTTGCATAGTCTTGAGTTTTCTATGTTGTGTCATCTGTACTATGTTTGTCTGTTTGTCTTTTTATTTTTGGCCATGGCGTTGTCAGTTTGATTTCGATCTGTGAGTTTGACTGTCCCTCTGGTATCTTTTGTCCTTCCTTTGTCTTCCACTTATGATTTTGAGTGTGACTTTGGTATCTTCTACCTCCTTGTTGGCTAGTTGTTATGTATCATACTTGTTTTTCTAATTTATTGTTGATTGTTTTGTAAATAGAACGGCCGTTGGTTTTCATGTTTCAATCAACTTACATGTTGGAACCCTTATTTCTTACTATATGGTATGGGATTTTCTCATTGTTGAATGCCGTACGTTGACCAATAGTTGTAACCAACTACGTCATTATGTCTTTAATTGATATTTGTCTATGCAACAGTCATACTACATCTTCTTATGTTTTGTTATTAAATTATAGAAACTTACCCGAAAGATGAGTTATATGTTCCAGGATCAGTAGCTTTTTTATCCTGAAGATACCTTGATTGACTGAGTTTTATGTTATTTCCTATTCTTTCCATGAAAACTGTTGGGTAGTTCATTTGCAACGTCCAGGTGTCCATTATTCTTTTAACATCATGAACCTTTTGTGGCTTACCATCTATCATACTTTGCTATATGAAAATATAAACATATTTGTTATCAGCTCTTCAACTATATTAAATGCTTAATGATATGCAAATCAAACTATTTTGCAAATTTGATAGAATGATTGTTGGACCGACTTTAGTCATTTCGATAGGTACCAACTGTGCTCCAAATGATACAACAAACATAACAAACAGAATCAATTTATGAACTGATAATTTAATTTTGGATGTAACGCGTCTTCTGATTGGCTGACTTTGTTTTGTTTATCAGCTCATAGACAAAATTTTGTCATGTGACCGTGACGTAATCAACGTTTGTTTCAAGGTTTACTACGGTTTAAAATGGAATTTAGAATTAAATTATAAGAAATGACTGTAATATTTTTTCTGTCTATTCGAAATAACATAAAACATGTGGTGCACACTTTAAAATAACCCGCGTAGTATTTCAGTGTGCACCACATTTTTGATGTTATTCTTCATAGACAGAAAATATATTACAGTCATTCCTTAAATAATGATGGCAGAGCAATATATGCTTACCTTTCAAGATAAATTGGGATCCTTGAACTTAATGGTGCCTTTATTTTCCCCATTACCTCTCCTAAATCTTCTTTTGGAATGCCTTATCATGAATTGTTATCGATGATATAATGTATTACCCCTCTTTTAACTTCATGGTATTTTATATGTGTAATGATATCACAACCTTATTTCCTTTAATGCAAGAATGTCCGATATGTGTCATACAAAAAAAAAGAAGAAAAAGAAAATTGAAAGACAAGTGATATCTTGGTTAATCATTAATAATTGAATGTTTTTGAGTAAGAGGAAAGTGTTCAACCGATGTTTTGAATCAACGTGAACGGCGAGCATAGTTAAAACAAATGTATTTCTTACTCTTCCTAAAGCATCCCACAGATCATCATGTGCTGCTACACCGTATACTCTTTCTGTAATATATAGCTAAAACGTAAAATAAAAACATGTGTTATGCAAATTCAATTATGAGATTGGGGAGGGGGGTCAAAATCATTATTTGATTGCAAATGACTGACATGAGCAAATCCGATACAAAACGTGTGTTATGCACATTAATTTATCTTTCGGTTTTTTTTGTTCAGTTACGAAATTTGTTCTGTATAATTTTTTTTTAGAAACATCCTACTCAGACTTTATAAAACGACAACAATGTCTGAGCAGAAAGTTAATGAACCAGAGTTATGACAAAGGATGTTGTGTCCTTTTTTTAAAAACGTTCATCGGAAGATACCAAGAACTTTTTGATAGATATTCTGTATCAACTTCACAAATAATGCATAAAACTGTCTTGAAGTATAGATTCTAGGCAATGACGTTGTTTATCATTTCAATTACGTGTTTTATTGGGTTTTTTTTTATTTGTCTTTGTATATTTCTAACCTGTACTGTTTAGTCCATTTTTTGTAATATACTTTTTGCGTGGCTCGGTATTTATACACCGCGTCATTGTGTTATAGTGCTATGGTCATCTTTGTATTCTTGTCTTTCATTTTTGCTTTGTCTATAGAGTGTCTATATTCGATTTTGTTTTTCTTTGTTGAAATAGTTATTGGTTTTATAATGATTAAGATTACAATGTTGACTTCTGTAATCCAATTTTTGACATTTTTACCTATAATGTCTGTTTGTTTTGCTCACATATTGTTGTCAATATAATTGAATTCTATGCGATTGCCATACAAGTGAGAGGTATAGCTAGCTATAAACCAGGTTTAATCCACCATTTTCTACATATGGAAATGCCTGTACAAGTCAGGAATATAACAGTTGCTTTCCATTCGTTTGATGTGTTTAAGTTTTTGATTTTGACATTTTATAAAGGACTCCAATTTGAATTTTCCATGGAGTACGGTATTTTTGTATTTTACAATTTTTTCCTACAAAGAAGAAAATATTTTCATGAATTTAATTCTTTTAAATTTTGTTATATCAAGGATGATAATCAAATAATCTAGGCTTATAAAGGAATGTAAATGATCTATTAAGTTATAAAGCAATTTTCTTTCTGAAAGCACATTATACATTGTTATAAAAGCTATCTGCTCAAGTCAAGTTTGAAATTTCATCATTTAGAGTTCTTTCTATTCACACATTAGTGCTTTTTTCCATGTTAAATTTTTAACAAATATGACAGTTTTGCACAACCTGTAGCTTGAAAATCATGAAGATAGCTCGTTGTGACCCATACAAATTATTATGCTTTTGAAAATAGCACCATTGCATGCAAATGTTTACAAAGTATGAACACAATTATATCGTTCTTAATTTGAACCAGCAAACCCCATCTATCTTAAAGTATTGATATGCTAACTACTATGTATGTGGGTTTTTTTGTTAGATTTACAATAATTTAATTAATGAAAGATAAAAGATTCTATTTAATTAATAAAATGGATTTTTAAATATACAGATTTAACACCTACTGTAATCATTTTTTTATACTGTCTATTGCTTTTGTTCTCTAATGAGAATTATCCATCAGAAACAACTAATTATTTATTCTGTAAGAACCAATTCCAATTCCAATGACTCCGCAACAGTCACAAAACAAAATAACGATATACATAAATAAACTGCACAAAGTGACGATTGGTCCTATAAAGAAGATAAGGTTTTGGACAACCGCTGTAAATAGGTGTTACGGACAGACTAACGAAGACTGACTCTTTAATCTCCATTGTGTTCGAAGCGCTTTCCTGGAAATATCGTCATCAAGAAATCTCCAACCTGAACATGTTAAAGTTAGGGTTACACACTTTGCATGAATCCTTAGATTATTTCGTTTTACAAAATCTATGCGGGTAAATGGTAATAAGATAACAAAAAACAAAGGTAATATTTCAAAAATAACTCTATACCGATATAATTGAACTGTTGTTTGTTTTTCTAAAATTGTTTGATTATAAACAAGGTAAGAAGATTGTAAGAACTTAATAAAGAACACATGCCACATACATTATAGAAATTATTCGTAAACATATATTGTGCAATCGGCATACCTTGGATGAATCAGGTACCCTCCTTCGACCGTATCGACCGAAGCACTGACATCGATGTTTATATTAGAGATTAATTATGCTCACCTGTAGACCTCTTTGGAATGTTTCGTCACCCAAAAAGAATTGCATCATTCTTATAATAGATCCACCCTGAAAAGTCATAAAAAATTAAATGTTCATATGATTCGTCTCAAACAAGAAATTTTGATTATATTCTTTTTTATTATATATCTTAATATTGCATAACTATACAAAAAACCTTAAAATATACTTAAGGTCTAAAAAAGACTTAACGTTTTTATAATCAGACATTACAGGTAGTTTTCAGATTATTATATCTTGTTCTCACTAAAACTCATTTCATAACAAATAAAGATTCTAATGTAACTGATTTATATCGATTAATCTGATTGTACAACGTCAAGTGTGGAATTTTCAATAAAGTACCTGTCTGGAAAATGAGAAACGCCGACGTTTTGAATTCTTGAATTTATTAATATTTAATATTTTTTATTGTAAAACAAATCTTGTTTGCAATCTCAACATCTTTGTCTATTCTTTTTCATGTTAGGTCGCGTTTTTGAAATAAATTGTCATTTACTTTACCTAACAGTTGTCAATGGAGAATTATTGAATCGTTACTTAACATTTAAAGAGGTTTTATTCCGTACTTATCAACTACTCTAAACGAGAGGCGAGAGATGATTGATGGCTAGGAAACGTCCAGTGGGAAATAAAATACATATTCCGGATGAGAGCATGTTAATGAATTATGAATATTTACCTTGCTTTGTATTAGACCAACACGCTGAACCGCATTGTTAACGTGCTAGTTTTTGAGATGACAGTCCACAGGAGGACATGTAACCCTATCCCGACACATTATTCTGACTTCGAGTCGACCTGTCTTTGCTTTACTCCTTAATGCCTCGTTCTGAGCGAAAAAGCAATTAACAATTTTAAAGTCTTTAGTGGGACTCGTCAGGGTTCGAACCAACGAACTCCTGCAATCGTCGCGAACACGCTACCAAGAGACCACTGAGGTGGTTTAGAGGCGAAAGATACTAAAGGTACATTCCAACTCATTAGTCAAAAATTGAAAACTGACAATACCATGGCAACAAAATGAAAACGACCGAAAGACAAACAACACCAACAACCACACCAACCACTTTTTGTGTTTGGCTGTGCATGTACAGTTTTTGTGTCATGGATGAATACCCCATATCTTTTCTATTAAACAACAGTAAAGAAAACACAAAATGGACAACCAAACACTGAGCAACACGAATCTCATCAAGAAACAGGGGTGATCTCATGTAATCTGGAAGAGTAAGAAGATCCTGCAATGTTAAAAAAATGAAATCGCCATTTCACAAGTTTTTCGATTGTCAACCTAAATTGATTGAGATTCTCGGCAGCCGACTTGTTTGAGGTCATCTACAATGATCACTAGCTTGTCAAGATTGAGGTTGTGAGTTCGAACCCCGTCGATCGAAGGTGTCTCCGACTCTTATACTAATTGAATAGGATTGCCAGTTTTCCTGCTGAAGTACGGTTGTTTTCTCCGGGTACCCCGGCTTCCTCTGACAATAAAAAAAAGCCACCTTATGAGACAATAAAAAATGCCGAAAGTGGCGCTAAACATTATTAATCAATCAATTTAACTTACTCGATTGATCGTTACAATGTTTAAGTTTCTAATCAAGTGATTGTTTAAATGTGCAATAGAAAAATCATAGTCAAATATATCAATATGAAATCGATGATGGTTTTTGTTATGTTCCTGGTTTTGACAATTACAATTACATGAGACTTTTGAATAAAATCACGTGTGAGGAACGAATAGCAAAATATACTTATACAGAGCATTATTGTAACACCTTTATATTCCAACATAGTGAAGTATCTTTATTTTCATAGATGGTTACATATTGATAAATACCTTTTCGTAGGAAATAGTATCAAATATTTGGAAAATTTCATCTGGATTAGAAACAGGAACATATACTGGATGTGAGGAAACTAGTCCATCAAAGCTCAAAGCCTTATGAACACTTTTGACCACAAAATGGTCGAGCTACAAAATAGATGCATAGATATACTGAAACCGAATCTGCTTTGCAATTAGTCCAAATGATTAAGCTGTGGTTTAAAAAATAAAAAAAAAAATAACTTTTACAAAAAGCAAAGATCGTAGTTCGAAAAAAATATGGATGAAAACCTGATTTAAAACTTTAAATATTTTGTTATCTGTATAAAAAGTCTTTTATTAATCATTAACACAATAAGGGGTCTAGAGTAATTGTTGATTGAAATATGGATTATATGTTTGAGGTTTTCATTTAAATAACAACAAAGATGGCTTTATCTTTTGTTTGGTACATCTTCTTCTACATAAACAAATCAGTCCAAGTCTTAAAACTTGGAATTTTAAGGGAAGATATCTCAGGATATTTTTTTTTTATTATGCAGCAAGACGGTGAATCCTATCTTGCTTTTTATTCTTTTCTGAACGCTGTCTTGTTATACATGTATCTTAAAATCATATCGTTTGGTATTCAATCTGTTCTTCACGTATTATCCTTACAAAATCTGATAATTTTGCATAACGTACGGCTTGAAAAAGTTCTGTGACCCAAATTAGGCCGTTAGTTTTCTCGTTTTAATTGTTTTACATTGTCATTTCGGGGCCTTTTATAGCTGACTGTGCGGTATGGGCTTTGTTCATTGTTGAAGGACGTACGGTGACCTTTAGTTGTTAATTTCTGTGTCATTTGGTCTCTTGTGGAGATGATATATACTACAAAACATTGATGATATTTATTTACCCCCTGGGGATCTGCCTTAGGCTGAGGGTCCTTCATTTTCAAAGTTTCAACGAAGGTAAAGGATAAAGTGCTTTTTCCTTTTCTATCAATTGATTAATTGATTTTGTCTTCTTTTGAACAATTAAAGTAAAAGATTGTCAGATTAACGATCAATACTCCAAAAAGGCCTCGTCACTTTTTAATACGCTGTGATAGAAAAATATGATATTCTGTCATGAAATATTATTTACAAAGCAAAAGAGACTTTGCTGAATTAACTTTCCTAACAGACAAATTTGGAATGCCATAGAAAAGGCTTTTTAATACGTTAGAAGTAATAAAACAATTAAAGCAAACAGGGACAAGAAATAAAAGAGACTATGAACATTGTCATTAGTTGTCATTAATTTTATCGGAATGTTACTGCTCTCTTTAGTTGCAGCTCTTCATTCGGACTGATCTGCATCTTAACATATTAGATAAACACCTGTCCATTGATTGATGACGTCTACAAGCTAGAATAAAGGTCATTCGAGGTTTTCTGTTTCATTTTTCTTTGACGCTTACTCGGTTATTTTATTCAACTGTGGCATTTAGTGAAATTAATACATTTGAAGTCTCTTTTAAAAGCCATCCGAACTTGCGTAGACCCAAAACAAAAAAAAGACTTGAAATGTGATATAGAAACTTTTCTACGTTGAAGTCTAAATCTTGTCCTCTTAATGTCTGTCGGACTTCTGTGTATTTGCTGAATCTTTTTTGCATAAGTAGTAGCTAGTCGTGGAATGAACTGTATTGTGTTCAAATAAAAATAACATTTTTTATATTCCCAGAGTTTTTCTTTTGTTATTTTTAACAACAAAATCCAAAACAGTTAACAAATCGTACACTCTAGCTACAAATTAACTGTGTTTTCGACGTAACCTACATATAATATATACGTACCTGAATATGTTATAGTAATGATATCATTGCGTTGAAATGTAATATTTACCGCCAGCCAGTCTTTATGTACGAAATCCATTCCAACATATGCTATATAGTTGGCAAAACCTTCATTAAGCCATATATCGTCCCACCATGAGGGTGTCACTAGGTTCCCAAACCACTTCAAAATAAAAATCTAAGATGTGAATAATTGAAAAAACTGTAGATATTTAGTGGATCGTACAATCAATATGTGGTTGCATATAATTTAATTGAAACCCTGTATAGATGCATGTTTACGAAATAAATATTCATATGAATATATATGAAATATTTTGTTTGTATTTAAGATAGAATTATTCGTGTCATTTGTTCATTGTAAGACCAATAAGACACATTCTATTTCATTGTTAGTCCAATGAGACAAATTCTATTTCTTTGTAAGACCAATTTGACAACTTCTATTTCATTGTAAGTCCAATAAGACAAATCCTATTTCATTTTTAGTCCAATGAGACAAATCCTATTTCATTGTTATTCCAATGAGACAAATCATATTTCATTGTAAGAAAACATAGTATTTGGAAAAATCTAGTGTCTTTTATTTTATATTATTCTTTGTATTAAGCTTTTGCTAATGGATTGTATAGAACACATTAGAGCAGATTTGTTTTATCAAATAGATGCTAAAAGAGGGACGAAAGATACCAGAGGGACAGTCAAACTCATAGATCGAAAAAAAAACTGACAACGCCATGGCCAAAAATAATAAAACAAACAGACAAATAATAGTAAAGATGACACAACATAGAAAACTAAAGAATAAACAACACGAACCCCATCAAAAACTGGGGGTGATCTCAGGTGCTCCGGAAGGGTAAGCAGATCCTGCTCCACATGTGGCTATCAAATAGGTGGTCAGTACGGGTGCGTTTGGTTATAACATACACATGTGCTAAACGATGGCTATTACATAAGGGGTCAGTAGTTTACCGATCTTCAAATCTCGTAGATCGATTTGGAAGATGTAAAGTCAAAGTAATGAACAAAAACGGAGTGAATTTCATGAACTCTAAAAGGAGAGAGTAGGGGTGCGTTTGGTTATAACATAAACATGTGGAATTGTTTAACGAGTGTTATAAGATCTCAAAATTAAAAACATTAAATGTGAAAACTAGTTCATTTATTCTTAAATTTATGTCAAAATAATGCATAAAAAAAACGGAGTGAATTTCAGGAACTCCAAAAGGAGAAGTCCTGGTGGGTTGGGTTATAACATAAACATGTGGAATTGTTTAACAAGTGTTATAAGATTTCAAAATTAAAAACATTAGATGTGGAAACTAGTTCATTCATTCATAGATTTTTGTATTTAAGTAGTCTTCAACGATGCACGTTTCCTTTCAAAACATATCGAAAAATGAACATGTGATTTATATTGAACATGATACTAATTGACGGTAGGCTTAGCTTCTTTTGTTACCTATTCTGACATTGGACTCGGAATTTTTTTAAACTGAGTTTTACTGTGCGTATTGCTATGTGTTTTTTTTTTCTTTTTTCTACATTGACTAGAGGTATAGGGGGAGGGTTGAGATCTCACAAAACATGTGTAACCCCGCCGCATTTTTGCGCCTGTCCCAAATCAGGAGCCTCTGGCCTTTGTTAGTCTTGTATGTTTTTTAATTTTAGTTCATTTATATGTTTTGGAGTTTAGTGTGACGTCCATTCTCACTGAACTAGCACACAATTTATTTAAGGGCCAGCTGAGGACCACCTCCGGGTGCGGGATATTTCTCGCTGCATTGAAGACCCGCTGGTGGCCTTCGGCTGTTGTCTGCCCTTTGGTCGGGTTGTTGTCTCTTTGACATATTCCCCATTTCCATTCTCAATTTTATTTTAAAGTCAGAGTAATGTACAAAAACGGAGGGAATTTCATGAACTCTAAAAGGAGCGAGTCCGGGTGCGTTTGGTTATAACATAAATATGTGGAATTGTTTAACGTGTGTTATAAGATCTCAAAATTAAAAACATTAAATGTGAAAACTAGTTCACACATTCTTAAATTTATGTCAAAATAATGCATAAAAAACGGAGTGAATTTCATGAACTTTAAAAGGAGCGAGAACAGGTGCATTTGGTTATAACATAAATATGTGGAATTGTTTAACGAGTCTTATAAGATCTCAAAATTAAAAACATTAAATGTGAAAACTAGTTCATTCATTCTTAAATTTATGTCAAAATAATGCATAAAAAACGGAGTGAATTTCATGAACTTTAAAAGGAGCGAGTACAGGTGCGTTTGGTTATAACATAAATATGTGGAATTGTTTAACGAGTGTTATAAGATCTCAAAATTAAAAACATTAAATGTGAAAACTAGTTCATTCATTCTTAAATTTATGTCAAAATAATGCATAAAAAACGGAGTGAATTTCATGAACTTTAAAAGGAGCGAGTACAGGTGCGTTTGGTTATAACTTAAATATGTGGAATTGTTTAACGAGTGTTATAAGATCTCAAAATTAAAAACATTTAATGTGAAAACTAGTTCATTCATTCTTAAATTTATGTCAAAATAATGCATAAAAAACGGAGTGAATTTCATGAACGCCAAAAGGAGGAGTCCGGGTGGGTTAATTCAAAATAGCCGTTAAACAATACCCGTTAAATGATGACCAATTTGATAATTAAGCTCCTTAGTGTGATTGAAAGCAGACAACGATTGAGATAAGCGAGTGTTTGCCATGTTTTAAGAAAGAAAGAATATCAAGATTTATTTTTTACTGACCATGTGTGCTACTTCATGCGAGACAGCCATTGTAACAAACTGTTTAAAAAACTCTGCTGTATCTAGAGGATCGTACAACATGGCCGACTCTCTGTACACTATCAGTCCCCAGTTCTCCATTGCACCAGCTTCAAATTCAGGAACAGCTATCATATCTTGAAAAGAAAAAATCTTAAACAGCAAACACTATTACTAACGATTTAAAACACGTGCTAGAAAGGTTTCGTTTGAGAAGGGGCAGTAGATTTTGATATATGAAACCCGTTGATTACATGTAATATACATTAATTACTAGAAATACAATAAGCTATGTATTATGATGTATTGGTTGGTTATGTATCTACATACATTTTTCATTTCATTTTGACTGATAAGCACCTTACATTATAAACGTTATCAATTTTTGTTGAAAAAAATAATATATCATTTACCACAATGTGTACTCGTTCTAGACGCGTTTTCCTAGGGTCAAATTCTAGAAGAAAGCAAGTCTACGATACACAAACGTTTGTTTGTTCTAGTCTACCTTTTCTCACACTCCTAAAAGCTTTTTGCTTATCCAACTAGCAACAAATACTCATTAAAGATTGGATAAATAGATCCGACCTTACATATTACAACAATGGTAAGTGTATTACGTTAATACGTCCGGAACATATCCTGACCTAAATTTTAATTTATAAAAATGAAATAAAGTATTCCAAAGTTTGTAGAAAAGGAACTGATGTTTAATAAACTGAATGTGTGAAAGGGGTTCGTTTGGTATTAAAGTGTGAGGATTAATTGACATGAACGGTCATACATATACACCTTACCTAGTTTAGGAAACGAAAATGAATTTGTATGCATATACCACTTACATTTTAAGGAGAGAAATGGGTTCGTATGCATATGCCTCTTACCTTGTTTGGGAAGCGGAAATGGATTCGTATACATATACCTCTTACATTTTAAGGAAGCGGAAATGGATTCGTATGCATGTACCTCTTACCTTGGTTAGGAAGTGGAAATGGGTTCGTATGCATATACCACTTACTTAGTTTAGGAAGCGGAAATTAACTCGTATACATATACCTCTTATCGTGTTTAGGATGCGGAAATGGATTCGTATACATATACCTCTTATCGTGTTTAGGATGCGGAAATGGATTCGTATACATATACCTCTTACCTCGTTTATGAAACTGAAATGGATTCGTATATATATATATATCTTACCTTGTTTAGGAGGCTAAAATTGATTAGTATGAATATACCACTTACCTTGTTTAGAAAGCGGATATGGTGTAGCAAAGTATTCTTCATAGAACGTCAGAATTCTGACACCAACGTCTAAAGCGTATGTTGTTTGATCGATTGCTTCTGGACGAGCCCAAGCTCTGTACTGATAAAAAAGACAATTTGATTTGAATTCCATGTGTTACTAGTATATATAAATAAGATACGTGTATGATTGTCAGTGAGACATTTGAAAAGGAATAACTAAGAGACTGCAAAATTGCACAAACTACCAAATACAGTATCATAATGAGATCTAGTCACTTAGATTGAGATATAAGTAAAAGCTTTACCTTACCCAAAAATAGTTTTTGTACAAAATGTCTCAAAACATGTATTTGGTATTGATGACTGTAGATTGATGTTCAACGTCCAATGCAAATTAATTGTTTCGTCAGGCCGACAACAAGCTAATGTATATTGCTTTTTGAATATGAACCCTGCTTAACGCTTCGTCGAACACAAATTTAAAAGTGTTATTTTAATTTACTAGCACTGGAATGATTACAACTGATGGATGATTGTTAGACCCCGATCGTACATATATCATATACTCAGTATATATATAACATGCTTATCACATATTCTTCTTTCGTATATTTAGAATTATCACAAATGTTTAAACATGGGCAGAAATTCAGAAATAAGCATTATATTTCGCATATTAAATACAAATATAAATATTGAAAAAAAAATACGCAGTTCAAAAGTCCTTTTTATAATGATTTATATTTTAAGAACTTTAGATCTTAATCGGACATGGTGTAACTCTCAAATCACAAAAATGGATAAGGAACATAACTAAAGAAATCTATCTGATGATTCCACACCATGTCTACTCCTATTTCGCTCCGTTTTTTTAGTTTTTCATGTAGTGTTTTGTAATTTTTTGTCTTTTACAGAACAGGATCTGCTTACCCTTCCGGAGCACCAGAGATCAACCTCGGGTTTTGTTGGGGTTCATGTTGCTCAGTCTATATATTTCAATGTAGTGTTATTGTTATGTAGACTGTTATTTGTGTTAGAGGTAATGTTAAATCAATGGCATCTTTCTGTCATATCAACGTTTTTATTTAGATATGTCCACATATAAATTACAATACTTTCTATATAGCTTGTTTATTGGTTTATTATTATATATGTCGATATCTTGGATGAGTTTTGTATCATTTTGTGAAAACAGCTGTTATTAAAACTGAATAATTAAACAAACGTGTCATTTTATGTATTGTCTTCCTTTTTACCCATTAAAAAGTAAAATCACAAAAATACTGAACTCCGAGGAAAATTCAATCGGAAAGTCCCTAATCACATGGCAAAATCAAATGACCAAACACATCAAACGAATGAACAACAACTGTCATATTCCTGACTGGATTTGAATGGTGGATTGAACCTGGTTTTATAGCGTTAAACCTCTCACTTGTACGACAGTCTCATCAAATTCCGTTATATTTACAACGATGCGTGAACAAAACAGACATAATAAATAAAATAGTCAAAATATGGGTACAGCAGTCATCACTGTGTTACAATCTCAAAACAAAAAATGATGACAGTAAAGCTCAATTTGAATAACATTGTCGTAAAATATAACATTCCAGTTCATTTTGTAGAGAACATAGCTGTTTGTTTTTCGTGCTTTAATGTATACACATTGTTTTTGAAATTCAAGGACTTAAGTTCTGGAATTGTTAAAGTTAAAGTCAGGCAGATAAAAAAACTACCTTAAGTTAGATCGGCACATCCCGATTATTCTATTCCAGCAGTTATATATTATCATTTACACTAACAAACGGAAGAACGAGTTTAGATTTATTGACATTTTACAGAAATACTTACTAATAAATTATTAGCAGTTGTTTCTTCTTTGAATGTGAAATCACAAACAATGAAAGCTAATAAGTAAGTTGACATCAACGGCGTAACTGCATAATGATCTGCCACCCAGTCGTTGGCTCTTAAATAAAAACAGAGCGAAATTGATTTAAAAAAACGTTTTAACTTGTTTCGTGAAATATATCAGAATTAGTTTTTTTTAGATCATAATTATGCCAAGTTTATGTTTTCTTTCATTTCTTTCCTGCTTTTTGTTTCATCATCGTGTCCTTCGTGTTCCCTAGATTTAATATTAAGAATTTTTTTTAACATGGACAGCCTTTTTTAGTTGTAGTTAATATTAATTTTATACATAGTTCCATAACTCAAAAATACTTCGAGTAAACTGTTATACCTTTCAAAATCATTCCTATGTGAAAAATAAAGAAATGTAAACGATGCTTTAAATACACTCATCACAGATACCAGGACTAAACATTTGTACGCCAGTCGTACGTTTTGTCTCCAAAAGACTCAGTGACGCCGAATAACAAAAGTTAAAAATCACGAATAAATTACGGCGGAACATTGAAGACCCAATAACAAAACACAAACTGCCTTTTAAAAACAAAAACAAAAATATCAAAACAAATACTAAAGAGATTGGAAGACACCAAATTGATATTCAAACTCATAAGTCAAATACTAACTGACAATGCCATGAAAAAAAACCCAAAAACGACTAAGAGATAAACAACAATTTGCAAAACACAACATAACATAACAAACTAAAGACTAAGCAACACGAACCCTAAAATCCCGGTGGATGATATCAAGTGCTCCGTAAGGGTAAGCAGATCCCGTTTCACATGTGCTCCCTTCAATTCGCTCATGTAAGTACAACATCGGTTATGAGTCTAATTTGGTGATATTACATTTCAAGTAAAAGAGGACTTGATTGTGGTTACGACAATTAGAACATATCCGTCGCTATCTAAGAAACAGATATTCAATAACGGCAAATCAATTCGTGATGGCGTCTATAAGTTTTTCAAAGGGATGACTTCAACTTCACCACTTGAAACTCTTTGTTATATAGCTTCCATGTAAGCAATATTTCTCTGCAATCACAGCGAAAACTGTGACTTAAAGATATTGATAATGAGAACTTCACAAGACTTTCAATTAGTTAGTAAATGCCACAGACCTATTGTTTTAAAATATACATATACATTACATTTTATTCAACTTATACAGGTTTTATTGTGTGAATATCAATCCTAAATTACAATTATATTACGAATAATCTCTACTTTCATGTATTTTCTGGACCAGATAGTTGGTGAACATTCACCATGCAGTATATATATATATTAGTAAATATTTCTGTATGTGTTGTGTACTTATCTTAAATGCATTTTTGTTTCTTGACAAATAGATTTTTTATACTTTTTTTTTGGTGTCTTTTTATGGTATTTCGTTTTTTTCTGAATATTTTTCGCCTCAGTTCGGGATTGATGTCGACTATAAGCTTAAAAGCTATTGCAACGATTCGTTCATTTTATCATTAGTAACATTAGTAAATGCAGTTTAGTCTTACACGGTCTTTTTTTTTTATCTTAAGGTGGTACCCAACACCTTGACTAATATTAATTTGGCTCGTTTAATTTTCATAAAATTTTGACAAAATGTCTACTTTGACCCTTTGACAAAAATATAAAAATTTCAAAAAATTTGAACCAACCACTTTATCAGAAAAATTTCGTTGGTTATATAGCAGTTTGACAAACACTAATTTTGATCATTGAGAAGCTTAATATTTCCTTAACAATACAACGTAATTAAAACGTTTAGCTGATTTTTACAGAGTTATCTCCCTGTAGTGTTAGGTACCACCTTAACTGTATCTGAAAATTATGAACAATAAGTTATTTAGATATGTTTTTTCTGTCAATTTTCAGACTAATCCCCTTCGATAAATTCGGTGCTATTCAGACATTTACGTGCAGTCAATTCAATTCGGTCTTGATGTGTACAGGTAAATAACAACTGCTGAATAGTCTGAGCATAGATTGAACAGATCTTAAATGACTGAAAGCGATCTGTCTAAACAGTACTGAATTAACCACCTTTAAATCTGAAATTAACTGATAGATTGACATGACTGGAGAGACCAAGGATACATTCAAACTTCTACAAGACACTCCATACATAACACATTTAAATGACCGAACAACACGAACTCCACCAAAAACTGAGGTCGATTAACCTATCGTATATGTATCACGTGATATATATGAATCTAAATTATCTATATTAAGGATGTTCGCTACTCTGTTTCAAAATAACAAGCATTTTAAAAGACTGTTATAAATTGATGGTATATGAATGAAGCAACTAATAAAGCAGAAAAAAATGAAGGGTCCGTGTGCTTGTTTTCGAGATATAAGCCTTTGAAAATTTGGCAGGAAATGATTCTCTCTAGATTTTTCATACATTTAACATAGGCACCTTTTTTCTTTCAAAAACAATGAAAAAGTAATAAGGATTTTAAAAGATTTTCAAATATGGCTTTTTAAACTATATGTAATAAAATTATGAAAAGAAAAGTAGGGGTTAGTGGACAAAATTATTTAATGGCCAAGCATGGATAAAACAAGAGGATTCCGAAAATCCGGCAAAAATTCAAAAACAAGAGGAGCAAACATCCTTTAGAGGTTATAAATGCTGTTGTTTGGCTACTGTTTCATTGAAGACTATCATACATCTTTCTTTTAAAAATAGAAAGGAATAAAATCTTACAAATCTTTGGATCGGATTTGGTTCATATTCGACAAGGAAATCAAGTGTTTTTTTCTGATAAGAGTCACACTGAATTTCGCTTTTACAGCTGGTTCATCAAAACACGGGAAGGCTTTTCTTGCATCTGTTGCCTGCATCTGTGTTGTGGCAATATAACTGTTAAATACATAATGAAAAAATATACAATTATTGACAATACAAGAAAAATCATTATTTTGATTGGTTCACGGCATCTGTACATTATATCTTTATTTCAATTATGTTGAAAAAAATTGAAAACAACACGTTTAATAATTTCATGCGTCCGAAGAGCTTTTCTGGATTAACCTTTGAAATCCGAGGATGTATAAGTACCCAAACAGTTGAAGAGCTATATGACAAAAATACCTAAAATAAATATCCAAATTCATCTAATGTCAATTTTGCCTGAGGGAGTTGAAACCTTAGTTTCTTAATAAATTCAAAATTTAAAAACGGACAATTTTAGAAAAGTTTGTTAAATCATGTCAGTACCGAAGTACTGACTACTGAGCTGATGATACCCTCGGGGACTGATAGTCCACCAGCAGAGGTATCGACCCAGTGAGTAAAAAATTGAAAACAACACGTTTAATAATTTCATGCATCCGAAGCGCTTTTCTGGATTTACCTTCATCAGGAACGCTCAAGCCAAACATTTGAAATCCGAGGATGTATAAGTACCAAAACCGTTGAAGAGCTATATGACAAAAATACCTAAAATAAATATCCTTGTGTGATTTCATAAAGTCCACAATATATCTATATTTCAATTATGTTGATTGTTATGAATAACTTTAATACAAGCCATCTAATGTACATCTACTAAGATGCATATTGACTGTATACCAGATAAGATTCATATTGACTGTATACCAGATAAGATGCATATTGACTGTATACCAGATAAGATGCATATTGACTGTATACCAGATAAGATTCATAAATATGATACAGCTGAATATAAAATGTACATCTGTTGAGATGCATATAAACTGTACATCTGTAAAAATGTATATGAACTGTATATCTGTAGAAATGGTGCTAATGGTTGTATCTTAATAGATATTGTCGTAATATTAAGTATAAATATGTATTCACAGATCCACCGTCAGTTAAAAATGCGTCTCAACAGATTCGCAATTTATAAACTTTTTAAGAGATGATGTACAATCTACATGCATTTCTAAATATGTACAGTGTATTTATTCATATATCTTAAGAAAATATACAGGGTATATAGAAGAGTGAATGAAAACAGGGAATGTGTCAAAGAGACAACAGCACGATCAAAGAGCAGAAATTATCCCAAGGCCGCCAATGTCTTTAATACAGCGAGAAAATCACGCATCCGGAGCTGTGCTTCAGTCGGCCCTAGACTAACAAAGACTAAGGGTTCCTGACTTGGGACAGGCGCGAAAATGTGACGTAGTTAAACAAGTTTTATACCCTCCCCTATGCCTCTAGCCAATGAGGAATATACAATCACACAGCAAAACGCACAGTAAAACTCAGTTTAAAAGAAGTCTGAGTGAGATGTTAGAATAGGTAACAGACGAAACTAAACTAGAATACAATGACAAACATGACTTAAAAAAGGACTTCTAGCTGTTACTGATGTGCCAGTTCCAGACTTCAATTAAATTGAATGAAAGATTATGTCTCCATATGAAAATCACGCACAATACCACCCGTTAGCGGTTTAGCATCATACAATCCTAAATTATACGAGAAAAACATTTAAGATGAGTATATGAATCTTGACAGATAAACATCAAGATTGCTTGTACTGAAGTAACTGTGTATACTGTTTAAACTTCAAATGTTCACTTACATTGTATCATTTCCACGTTGGTATGAACTTTGATAAAATCCAGCCAGTTTAGAAAGTAAAAGTCCACGGAACTCAATGTAAACAGAATAAGTCGATCCGCCCACTAATTGTGTATTTGTTTTCAAAATCAGGAACTGATTGACAGTATCAAATTCTATTGTTGGAATAATTGTATTTTGTCTAGGTGCTAATGGTTGTATCTTAATAGAACTTGTCGTAATATTAAGCTGATTGCTGTGCAGAACGATTTCGTTTGTTGACTGTCTGCATTCCATTTCAATCGTAACTTTTCCAACGAAATAGAAGTCTGCTGGATTTGTGTCATATATAAAAGGTTGTAGTTCAAGTTCATATAAAATTGGATATAGATTAAGCGGCAAACGAACATTTCCGCCACCAGGCTGCGTTGTATTCACTGTTGGAGTTGTAGGTGAAGATGGAGTTGTAGTTGAAGATGGAGGCCAAGTAGGTTTCCATGGTCTATAGCTATCATATTGTGAAGTTCTGCTACCTGCAAGCAAGTCTATGCTGATCGATATCGTATGCACATGTGTTAAACAATTGAAATTGATGAAATGATGAAAGCATATGAAATGTTGTTTGGACTTGTTTGTCTTTTTGTTCTTTTTCTACTCTTTGCCATTGTATTTTTGTTTATTTCCTACTTATTAGTTTTAAATATCCCTTTTGTACCTTCCGTCTCATTTCTTAAATTATGATTGTACATTTTAAAACGCTGAAAGCAGAGTGAAATTCGAAAAGATACTTCGATAGCGAAAGGTTAACAAAAAGATAAGAATTACTTAATTTTCGAATAAAAAATGTCTTATGTTCTTCTATAAAAAAATATTTAGAACTGAATAAATTTTATTTTTATATAATAACTGGTATGTTATCAATTTGAAATTTTGGTCGGAGTACAACAAAACCAATATAACAATGTTCCTTTTGTTCCGAAAGCTGAATCCTACTTGTTAATCATCCAAACCTGAAGCATCTGGTGATTTATGTTTTTCTAAACTCAACTTAATCCTTCAAATATAAGTTGAACATGGATTGATACACCATATCTTTTGTTTTTCTGTTATGGAATTTTTTCTATCAATTCTATATTAAGCATGTAAACACATACAGGACACCGTACTGAGATAACAGTAAGGAAACGCCATACCACAACAAAATAACAGGTAACAAAATTTCCAAATATCAAAGTGAGAAACAAAATAACAGAGAAATGACGCGGGAAGAAAAACAATAATGAGAGACAGCATCTTACTATAACAATGTACCTATAGAACAGGTCAGACACAAACAATATTTGTGAAAGTACCCTTAACCTGAGCTTGGATCGCTTTTTAATTACACGTATGATAACTAGAACTTCATATCTCTTTATTTTATCCATATAGTGTTAAAACAAAACATAGCTGTCTCTTACTTCTGTGCTGATTTGAATGGCTCAGAAATGTATCATCTAAAATGTTAAATCTTAATTGTAGTGATAAAGAGAGGCAAATGATTCCAAAGGGATAACCATGACAATGCCATGGCAACAAAATGAAAAACGGACAAAAGACCAAAAACAATATACAAAACACAACATAGGAAATTGAATACTCATCCACTAGAATCCCACCAAAAACCGGATATGATCGCAGTTGCTCCAGAAAAGTATTCAGATCCTGCACCACCTTGGCTATATCTCAGTGATCAGAGCAACGATATAACTTTACAGATCTAGGAATACAAAGGATATACTTTTGTATTCAAAATTTTAATGATCAAACATTAATACAACTTATCTCTGGTTGAATTGAGGCAAGATTTTCTAATTGTCGGGAAATTAGATCTTAATGACTTCTTAAGGGGTATATCTGTGATGTGACAACTTCTTAATTACTTCTTGAAGGGGTATATCTGTGATGTGAGAACTTCTTAATGACTTGTTAAGGGTGTATATCTGTGATGTGAGAACTTCTAAATGACTTGTTAAGGGGGTATATCTGTGATGTGGGAACTTCTTAATGACTTGTTAAGGGGTATATCTGTGAAGTAAGAACTTCTAAATGACTTCTTAAGGGGGTATATTTGTGATGTGAGACCTTCTAAATGACTTCTTAAGGGGGTATATCTGTGCTATGAGAACTTTCGTAATGACTTCTTAAGGTGGTATATCTGTGATGTGAGAACTTCTTAATGACTTTTGAAGGGGATACATTTATATCTGTGATATGAAAGATAACTTTTACACATGATTAGAAATCTTCTATGTAGATATCAAATCAGTGATTGATCATCTAGTATGTAACACATATTATGAAGTCAAAGTGATGTTTTCTTAAGGATGTTTGCTATATAATAAAGAAGATGTGGAATGATTGCAAATGAGACAACTCTCCACAAGAGACCAAATGACACAGAAATTAACAACTATATGTCACCGTACGGCCTTCAACAATGAGCAAAGGCCATACCGCACAGTCAGCTATAAAAGACTCCGGAATGACAATGTAAAACAATTCAAACGATTACATATTGTTGCTACTCTGTTTCAAACTAACAAGCTTTTTAAAAGACTGTTATAAATCAATAGTTTATAAATAAAGGAACTGAAAAAGCAGAAAAAAATGAAGGGTACGTGTGCTTGTTTTCGAGATATAAGTCATTGTAAATTTGGCGGGAAATGAATCTCTCTAGATTTTTCATACATTTAACATTGGCTACTTTTTTCTTTCAAAAACGATGAAAAAATAACAAGGATTTTATAAGATTTTCAAAGATGACATTTTAAACTATATGTAATCAAATTATGGAAAGAAAAGAAGGGGTTAGTGGGCAAAATTGTGTATGGCACTACATGGATAAAGCCAGAAGATTCCGAATATCTGGCAAAAATTCAAAAACAAGAGGAGCGAACATCCTTAAAAAGGTGCGTGTTGCTCAGTTTTTCTATAAAAGTGAGTTGTGGTTTGTGGACTGTTATTTGTGTTTTCGTTTTAATCGTTTTTTGCCATTTCCTTGTCAGTTTATCTTTTACTTATGAGTTTGAATAACCCTTTGGTAATGTTTGCCTCTCTTTTTTCACATTGTAAAAAGTGGACATTGCCAGACATTTTTTTAATTAGATTTATTGCCATTAGTGTCATAAATGTTATTTTACTAAATTCCAGAAACAAAACATTGATGTGTTTCTTACCTTTGTGTCGGTAACGGTGACCTTGGTGCCGGTTATGGTGACCTTGGTGCCGGTTATGGTGAACTTTGTGTCGGTTATGGTGACCTTGGTGCCGGTTATGGTGACCTCTGTGTCGGTAATACTGACGTCCATAATGTCCTTGAAATGAGTAAGCAATAAAACAAATATTATGACGATATCTTAAATACGGTAAATGTTATTAATTATAATAGTTCGATCAAATGACGTATTCCCGATTTCAACAAATTGTCCGGAGCTACATGTATTCTAGAAAACTGGTTTATTTTCATATAATATGATTTATATTTTTTGATCATGCACAATTTCTTATTCTGGATGTAAATGATAGAATATGTTTTCCCTGTCGGACGTCGGTTCTTCTCCCCGAGTACTTCATATTTCTCTACCAAATAAAAATAATTAGCCTACATGGTAAAGCAAAGGTCAGTAAAAGCTGCATTAAATACCAACAAACAAACAATTATTGCAACAAAAATATCAAAACAGAGATATATACCTTGTAGAGTACATTCCACCAGAACAAATAAAAGTAGAATTCTCAACATCATAATGTGTTAACCGATTGTCGCCTTAATGTTCGAAAGTCTCCAGTAACGGCTGAAATTAACAATAACTGTCAAAACATTATAACGAATTACGGTATAGCTATTTGGTCTTTTCATTTGAATTATAAAATGAATAGTGTTATATAATATATTTACTTAAATTCTGTATATATATTAAGTCTGACAGATATTAATATCATATTTTAAATTTTGTATTACATAGTTTTTTATGTTTAAATTAACATATATATTTATATAATCAAACCTTTTTGTATTCCAAGAAAACAAAATATTGAAGACGTTGCTGTGTTTACAGTTTGACAAAATAATCAGATGACTCGTGTGAAAATATTACATTGATGCTTACTCACTGTTTCAATGACTCGTGTAAAAATATTACATTGATGCTTTTTCACTGTTTCACTAACGGTCGAGTCGAGAGTTGTTTCATTGGCAATCATACCACATCTTCCTATTTTTATAGTAGACACGCACTGGTGACTTTCAAACATGCGTACCATCTGTATTGTTATTGATTTACTATTACAAATTAAGAAACAGTTGGCTTGAATACACACAAATGATGTAATATTTTTATTCAAATTATGAATTTATGAAATGTTTGAATAAACATTACATATTTACATCCAGGAAAACATGTAAAATTGCGTAACTTGAACAAGTTTGTACTTTTGTGGACATATTGTTCTCAAATATGTACAGTTAAGCATTATTCGATATGAATATAAGAAGATGTGGTATGATTGCCAATAATACAAGTATGTTTTTATCATTGAATTTTTGTGTAGGACGTATATGTACTTTTTCAGTACAATTTTTTGCAGCATTTTATTTGTACTTTTAATCTGGCTTTCCAAAATGTTTACTGTTATTGTATCGTACTAATAAGGTTCAATAACTATTTCGTACCTATTAAATCTAATATTTTATTGTACTTTTGCACAAACTTAATCTCATTGTATAAATTGCTGTAAATTTCAAGTACTAATTTTTTACTTTGAGTTCCCTATTCTGTACAATAACCTCATGTCACTAAATTAATTGTATTCTGTGTATAGTTTGAGGATACTCTCACTGCTACTTACCTTACAAGACTCCACTTTTCTGAATGAAAAATTCTGTAGAATTTAATTTTTACTAGTATGCTTAGTATATTTAATTTTACAGTCTTAATTATCACCGGATTATCTTAACATTTAAAACCGACTGATAGACAATGATAGATGTTAGTTTATGAAAAGGCTTTATACACAAGTAAGCGATTGTTAGTCTGAAACGGTCATTTTGATCTTAACATCTTCTGTAATAAAAATAAATTATTAAGTCATGTTCAGTCTTTCAGTCGATTGTCAGACTGCGGTAAATTCTGTAAAGTTCATTATCTCTTCAGACCATTCAGTATGCTGTTGATTTGAACTAAGACTGAACAGATCTTGATTGACTGTAAGCGAATAAGCGGAATCGTACTGAATTGGCCGCAGTGGATAAGTCTAAGCATTGACTGAAATAATTTATTGTTCAGACTTTAAGAGCTGTTCAAATGAAGATTACCGTTTCCGAATAAAACTGTTCTACTAGTGATACCTGCGTGTTTTGCCACAAGAAATAGCTCGTTTACTTGTGTTCTTTATATTGGTGAAACGTATCCATTGATCTGAAGTGTTCTAATATTTCAACAAGGTAAATGACCCAAAGAATAAAGATTGCTCTTTGGAAGTGTAAGTATTGTTTATCAACCCTAATTTGAAAGTAAAAAGAAAAATCTAGTGGTCATCATACAGTCTTCCACATAGAAAATATATAAAATGCATTTGTGGCGTAGTTTACTTATGGGGTCAAATTCAAAACTATATCTTTTTAAATAAAACAATTCATTTCTTGGCATTAGTTCCTTGCTTCATCCAATCAAAATGTATTTGCAGACACGAAATTAAAAGTTTTCCCAAAAAAAAACCCCCAAAAAAAACAAGTACGCAACTTCATATCCTGATGAAGAATTTAAATGTACAAGATGATTGTTTTCTGTCAAAGCGTTTTAATTTGATTTCAAAGACGGACTTAACCGATATACATCAGCAGTTATTCGTAGAATTTTGGTAACGTACTCTACCTGATAATTTCGCAATCTGATATACGTTAGTTTGATTAACTGTTACTTTTTCCGGTGTACTTGATTCCTATAACTCTGTGCTAGTAAGTAATTCAGTTGTATCT